GTGCAAGTCCTTGCAAGGACCCTGCAGCTGGGACGGGGGACTGCGACCCACCCAGCAGCCCCGGGTCCTGCCTGGCAGGTACCAGGTTGCCCTGTCCCCACCTCCCACCCTCAAAATGATGCTTCCCCTCTGCTGTTGTTTTATTCAGAGTCCCGATGCAAACTGCTCTGTCCAGGGCCCTACACAGAATTTTTGGTCAGCTTTTTCTGCTTCCTCAGCCCCCTCCAGCAGCCGGTGCCTGCTCAGAGCACCCCTGGCTGCTTGCAGAGCTTTTATTAAAACAGCTTCCTCGCCCACCCAGCACAGCTGATGCCAGTCAGAGCCGAGAGCTGCGAAACCCTCCTAAAAGGCTGGGCAGAACAGCCCCCCTTGCTGTCCCTTGTAGGGAAGACAACGGGGTAAGTGGTTCAGGACACAAACTGGGCAGGACTAAAAGAGAAATATCCTGCACCAGGAATTCAGGGAGAGAAGGGCCAGCGCCTGCTGGAAAGGCTGTGGGCTGGGAATGGCAGGCATCGATGCTCTGGGCTTCTCCAGCAGAGAGACCCAGGCTCTGCAGGGCTCAGGATGGCTTGGTGGCTCACACCCATCCATACCGACCCAGCCAACTTTGGGGGCTTGCAGCAGCCGCTGGGCCCCTCTCTCCTGCAGCTCCCGGCTCGGCATCCTCCTCTCCCCGACCCCGGTGATCACCTCTGGCTCATCCTTGCTCTCTCCTCCCTGTGTCTCTGTAACAAGCGTGGTTTTCTCCAACTCCTCGATGACTCCTTATGGGATATTCTGTACCTGTTTTTTCTGAACTGTCATTCTGCCTCCAGCTTTCGCTTCCCTAACCATCTTGGCTACTCTGTGCTGCTCTCCCGCCTCGTGGCTGCAATGCTGGAGGTAAGACTTGCTGCAAGCCTGCCTTCTCTGCCACAGCCCCACTCGGGTCCTGGTTGCCCCAAAACTGCCCCAGCCCAGGACGTCCTCGCTGCCACCGGCTGTCAGGAGCATGGGCACTGCCACTGCCGTGGTCCCAGTCTCTCCTCCGGCCAGCGCCTCCCGTGCTCTCCCCTTCCAGGGTACCTGCGCAAGGTGCTGAGGAACCACACCGCCCACACCTGTGACGGGGAGCAGCTCCTCATCATCTGCCCTCGCAAGACCACCATCAGCATCCTCGGTGCCTTCTACGGGCGTCGCATACCCAGCCCCAACCTCTGCCCCAGCCCTGGCAACGCCTCCCAGGAGAGCACTGAGTGCACGTCCACCACCGCCCACCTGGTAAGGGCCGGGGGTCCCGAGGGACCAGGCTGCACGCCCCTCCTTCCCCAGGTCACTGGGCTGCCTGCTGGGGCTGGGGGGCTGCAGGCAGCCCAGCCTCCCTGTGCCCCGAGGGAGGCTGCTGCCATCGGCACCACGATTCGCCCTTGGGGTCCTTTTCCTGGAATGTTTTTGGGAGATAAGAGTAGACGAGATCTTCCACGGTGGGTCCCATGGTGGGGCAGACCTGCCAGAGGAGCCCGGCAGGAGGCACCGCTGTGTCCTAAGCTGGCTTTCGGAGCAATTCCGCAGGACGCAGCAGGCTCGGAGAAAGCCCTGGCAGCCGGGGCTGGGTCCTGGGAGAGGGGTGGTGCAGCAGCCGGGGTGCCAAGTTCGGGAAGTGGGACAGGGGCCCATGGGGGATGCTGCACTCAGCCCTGCCGGCGCACCCCCTGGGATTAGCACAGAGCTCAGCTCTTCCCCAGCCAGAAGAAGCACCAGCCCGTGCTGGCAGCTCCCAAGAAGCAGATTAATGAAGCAAGCCCCATGGAGGGTCTGTTGATTGCAGTAGCCAGGAGAGGGGAGGGAGGCAGGGGCTGGCAGAAGGAAAGGGACGGGACCTCTCCAAAGCTGATGCCTGGCTGGAGGAAGCACTTCTGGGATGCTCCAAAAGACCTGCAGCCTCTTCTGTGCTGTGGCCGTGCTGGATTCCTCTTTGTGTTCGGGGGAAAACCCCGTGCCCGGTGCAGACATCAGCCCTCCACCAGCCCCACACAGGAGACATCATGAGTGGCTTGAGGAGTGGTGCAGAGAGGAGCTGGGAGGGATGTCATCCCTTGGCATCCTGCAGCTTTTCCCTGGCTTCTGGCTCTCCATGCCGGCGTGGCTGGTCTCGGCACCCATGGCCTTGGAACGCCTTGGACCAGACCGGCTGCTGCGGCTGGCAGCAGCCCCGTCCAGGCATCGTAGCAGTCACCGGGAGGGAACACGGACAGCAGTAACAGTCGTTCTGCAAAGCCTTGAGCGCATGTCCTTTGCCAGCCAAACTCTTCCAGTTCTTGGGCACTTCAACCTTAGCTGAACGCTGGAGCCCCATCTCCTGGGGGCTGCGCTCGCCCATGATACCATCCCCCCACAGGAGCGCCTGGGGCTGGAGCTGGCCTGGCAGTCACAGGAGCCTGGTCGCTGCCTTTTCCGGAGCCCTGCTTGGCTATGCAATGCTCCTCACTCCCAGCTGCGAGTCCCTGGTCCAGACACTCAGCTCTGCCTGTGGCTGGGGAGACCCTGCACCCACAGGGGGTGAGATGGGCAACGCGCTATGCCAGACACAGCGTGCCCAAACCGTACCCGCTGCTCCCTCCTGGTCACAGGGCTCTGACAAGCCCAGGGCAGCCGGGACGCATGGTGGGGGCCAGCAAGGAGGGTCCCTTGATCGGGACAGGGTTTCATGTGCTGCTTTTCTATTCCTGTTCCAGCTCCTTACTAGGGCTGGGGCAAAACCGCAGCAAACTCAGCTGCGTGCAGCTGCCTGTGGGGAAGGGGAACATGGAGCCAGAGAAGGGGAACAAGAGCTGAGGGGCCGGTTCCCTGCTCTGGGAGCTCGCGAGGCTTTGCTGCCCGGTCCTGCTCCAGCCACAGATTCCCTCCTGGCATCCCGCATGTCCCAGGAGCCAGAGCATGCTGGCATGGCACCAAGCCAGCCCCACAAACCACCCTGCAAACTCAGGTCAGGGTCCCCAGAGTGTCTGTGTCAAGCACAGGATGGACAATATGGCCCAGCACGGATGTTTGGCGACTGGAGGGCAGGTCTGCGAGCAGGATCTGTGCGGCTCAGGTTTGCAGTGAGATGAAGCTGCTCCAGCCGAGGGACCGTGACTCTGTGGGGCCAGGTTCCCCGCTGCCTGGAGGCTACTGTTGGAGAGGGGATGTCTGGAGAGCACCAAGCAAGGCTGCTGCCAAGGCTTTGCTCTGTTTAGGCAAAACCCGGGGAGAGAGATTAATTGCATTTCCTCCTAAAATTTCACTTCTGGCAGCCAGTGAAGACCAAGAGGAGGTTCAGTTCTGTGCTGGGCTGGGGCGACAGGGGACAGAGGAGGGGAAGGAGAGACGAAAAGGGGCTCCATCGCCTCGGGTGGTGGGATCCCAGGGCCCGAGTCGCTGGGCAATTTCCCAGAGGGGTGGCAGCGAGGGTTGGGAAGAAGCCGTGGCCCCGCTCCGCCGCCAGCAGCCTCTGCTCGGGCTCGGGGCTTGCAGCGTGGCCGGCGTCCCGAGGGATGCTGCGGGCCGGGAGCCACAGCCCCGCGGCCCAGGCTGCCCGGGAGACAGCGTCGCCTTTGGGCCGCCGTGGGCAGGCAGGGACAGCAGCAAAGGCCGCCCCGGTCCCCAGCTGGGACGCTGCCCGAGTAGCCCGGTGGTGCGAACCCTCGTCCCCACCTTGTGGCCGCGCGTGTGCATTGCACGGAGCCCTGCCGGCGTGGGCGTGAGCGCACGGGCGCTGCACGGAGCCTCCTCACTGTGCACACCTACATGGGCATTGCACGGAGCCTCCTCACTGTGCACACCTACATGGGCATTGCACGGAGCCTCCTCACTGTGCACACCTACATGGGCATTGCACGGAGCCGTGTCGGTGTGCACACTTGCATGGGCATTGCACGAAGCTGTGTCGGTGCGCACACCCGCACGGGCACTGGATGGAGCCTCCTCACTGTGCACACCCGCACAGGCCTTGCACAGAGCTGTGTGAATGCACACACGTGTATGGCTGTTGCACGGAGCCGTGTCAGTGTGCACACCCGCACAGGTGTTGCACGGGGCTGTGTTAGCATGTACACCTACCTGCACGGGTGTTGCACATGCATGGCGTGGTGCGGTCCTGGCGCCCGTGCTGGCACAGGTACTGGCAGACCTGTGTTGGCACATGGCTTTGTGTGGGTACAGGGGAGGAACCGACACATGAAGCAGGGTGACTGCGGGGGAGGGGGGGCGTGAGCAGCCATAGGACACCTCTGCGGGGTGAGAGGCCGCTTCCCTGAGCCTGATGGTGGCACTGAGGGAGAGGATGCGAGGACAGCCTCAGGACTCCTCACCCATCCTCACGTCTGTCCTGCTTTGCTCTCCAGAAGCTGCTGGCTGAGTGCCAGGACCAGCAGTGGTGCCAGTTCTCAGTGCACAGCCAAGTCTTTGGGCCGGACCCGTGCCCTGGGACACACAAGTACCTCATCACTTCCTACAAGTGCCGGCCAGGTGAGGTGGAGCAGGGTCTGGGCAATGCTGCACGGGCTCTTCCCCGGCCTCGGCTGCTCAGAAAGGGGCAAAGGGGGGAGCTCCCTCGCAGCCCTCCAGCCCTGCCCTTTGGCAGCTCTCAGACCCCTGGCTGGGCTAAGGCAGGAAGGGGCTGCAGGTGATTTGGGATGCGTTGGGACACGCTGCAGTGTCACTCCCCAGGGAACCATCGGGTCAAGACCGTGTGCGAGAACGAGAAGCTGAGGCTGCAGTGCCGACCAAAATCCATCCTGGCCATTTATTCTGCAAATTATGGACGACTCCTGCGGGGCAAACCAGAGTGCGATGCCCTGAACGCCGGGGGACCTCATATAGGTATGCTCGAATGGTTCAAGCCAGGAGCTGTGCAGAAAGCGTAGCAACGGGCTGTCCCTGTGCCCCTTGGCCCCAGCTGGCTGGTGCCCAGCAGGCAGGGGCAGGCACGTCTGCCCATGGGCCCATGCCCCATGTCTTTGCAGAATGCTTGGCTCCGGACGCCCTGCGGAGGGTCTCCAAGAAGTGCCACCGCAAGGGGAACTGCACTGTGGCTGCTGACCGGGCCACCTTCGGCGACCCGTGCCTGCCCGGCATGAAGAAACAGCTGCGAGTCTCCTACACCTGTGGTGAGGGCCACCCACGGGGCTGGGGGCTTGGGGGCCACCAGCCCCGGCCCTGCTGTGCCCACCCCGTGCCACGCGGGCAGGGCTGTGGGGCTCCCGCGGGAGGCAGGGGGCTGCTGGGGACGAGCGAGGTGGTGATGCTCAGCGTGTGCTCTCCTTGCAGTGCCCAGGCAGCTGCTGGAGGAGGTGGGCCCGGACACCTCAGACCCCTTCCTGCTCTCGGACTACATGCACGGTAATGGGGGGGAAGGCTGTGCCAAAAGCGGTGCAGCGTGCTGTCTGCGAAAAAAAAAGTCTGCATCCATGGTACCCGTCGCTGGCAGGAGCCCTGCAGCTCCATCCCAGTATCCCTGTCCCGTGGAGGAAGCCACCCATGTCAGTGCCCGTGTCTGAGGTGCTGGAGAGATGTGGTCTGCTGGGAGCAGGGGAGCGGAGGACCCGCAGGGGAGCATCCCTGCGGGCAGAGGAGTACTTGTGCAGGGAGGAAGGAGTGTGGCATGGGGAAAGGGGCAGGCAGGGGCAGGCAGCCAGGCAGCAGCGTGCTGGGGAGCACCTCGTGTCTCAGCCCACGTCCCCTTGTTTGCTGCAGGTGGCTGGTACAAAGGGCCCAGGTTCTCCAGGCTCCGGGAAGACCGGATGATTTTTACTAGCTCTCTGGCAGCTTTTGCCCACCTTTGGGGTACGTGCCCTCCCCGGCTCTCAGGCAGCACCCGGGGGGGCGGGACCGGCTTGGGAGGGCTGGCTCAAGTCTCGTGATGGCCCCCTCTCAGCCCAGCGCTTGGCTCAGAGGCAGCCAGACCCCAGGCCCCTCCAGCAGGGTCGGCAGGCACACGAGGGAAGAGGGCACCAAGCACCCATGCTGGGTTGGGCGGGGGGTCCACGCGGGGTGGGAGCCCCCAGCCCTTCCTCCCCCGGCAGGCTGCTGGGTCGCCTTCCTGCCTGCCCACTCTGCAGGGGCTCTGACGGAGAGCACCACCCTGCAGGCAAAAATTGCCCTTGCCAGCAGAAATTACTCATTTAAATCCCTGGTGAGATGATTCTTCCCACCATGCTGCCTACCCTGCATCCCAGTGGGGGTTTCCTATGGGGAAAGGGGCATTTTCGGACACTGGTGGGTGCTGATGAAGCTCTGGGTGATGCTCCTATGAGCGCTGGGGCAGGGTCTGTGCTGCCTCTGCAGCCTGGGTGCTGAGGGCATCCCTGCTCCCCTCTTCTTCCTCCTATGTGCCTGGCAGAGGGGGTTTTCCAGGCACTGGTACCCCGCAGGCTGCGGAAGCAGTTTATACCCTGGCATCTCTCTTCGCGCTTCACCCCCCAGGTGTCCCAGAGAAAGTTGGCCTCTACTTTCTTTGCGGGGTCTCAGGAGGCCTCATGCTCCTCCTGTGCATCATCAGCCCCAAAACGACCTTCCTCCAGGAGGTAGGGGCAGCTTTCAAAGACCAGGAGCTGGGGAGCAGCTCAGAGCTGAGCAGGACCAAGCTGCGGGACGAGCAGGATGAAGACCTTCCTGACGACAGCTCCTCGGACTCCTCCTTCCGCCGCCTCACCCGCACTTACCGGGCCACCGACAGCATCTTCAGCCCTGAGCTGACGGCAGCCATGGAGGGGGCGGTGGAGCACCAGGGCCGCAGTGGGGAGGAGATCTGGATGCCCAAGGAGTCAAGCCCATACGCCATCCACAAGATCAAATCGGCCACCAAATAAGAACTAGAAGAAAATGGCCAGAGAGCAGCGGGGGGCAGAGGCTAAGTGGGATCTGACATCAGAGAGACACAAGAGTTTGGGCTCCTCGTGGCAAGTGGGCATCCTGAGTGGCCACAGGGCCACAGCAGCCCCAGCGTGGCCATCAACCCCACTGCTGCATCAGCCTGGAGACCTCTAACCCAGGGGTAAGATGCGGTCCCCGGGTGTGATGAGGGGCTGCGGGATGGCTCGTGGGGCTGCTGGCTCCTTTGCTGCAAACACGCCACTAATCCTAAGCTAACCTCCCCATGCTGGGCTCGCACCGGCTGGCTCCAGCACTCATCCCTGCTCAGCCATGCCAAGCCCACCCCGAGCCTTTCCAGGCTGTTTGCTCCTGTCTCCTCTTGGGTGCTGACCTCCACCCCTGGTGCTGCAAACGCCCCCACCAGCACTCGGGCAGCATTGCCAGCGGTGGAGAGACGGAAATGGCCAGGGTGCAGGGAGGATGCAGGCGGAGCTGGTGGGAGAGTGCCGCGAGCATCACCCAGCACAGCCACAGCCCTACCACGCCGTGTGCCTTGCAGCCCCGGTACCCCCAGGGGAGCTGCACCCCGGGGCCGGGGCAGACAGGCGCTTGGCACAGCGTTGGCGCTCACCTCCCTGTGGGCATTCGGGAGCTCTGTCACCCTGCATTGCTCTATGCTTTCCTTCATGTTGCTGGGGCTTTTCCAGTAAATAAATGCAACAGCTCATAGTCACAACATCCCTCCCGACCTCTGCCATTGATAGTGAAAAGGGAGGGAAAAGGAAGCGGCGAAGCTCAGCCTTCCCCGTGCAGATCAGCTCCTTGCCTCCCGCCAGTGTTTCTGGCACTGGGCCATGGGGAGCAGCAAGTTGGGCCTGTTTTAGCATGGGAAAGGATAAGGTTTTACCCTGGGGAAGGGGAATAGGGAAAAGCAGTCCATGTGGATCCCATGAACGATGCTTCCCTGCCCTTCCTCCTTCTCTTGAGCCTAAGGCTCTCTGTCTGGTAAGCAATCCCGGAGCAAGCGTCCCCAGATGCTGTGCAGAGGGGCTTCTCGGCAGCCCCACGGTGCCAGGGAGGCAGGCTGGGCCTGGGGGCTGCTCCAGCTCCAAAAGGCAGCATGGGCTCTGTAGTGCTGCGGGAAGGGGCTGGATGGAAGCAGTGACCCAGCTCTTCTCACGGTAGGGACGCTCCAGGCACCAGTGCTCTTGAGCTAGCACATAGCAGGGTCTGTGTTTCCATCCGCTACCGCACATGAAGTGCCTGGGCTGGGTGCAGCAAGAGGGGGCTGTGGGGGATGTCAGTGCACCCCTCAACACAGCTGCTGGCATTGGTGGTCTGCTGGGGGCCAGGGCCCCATCTCTGTGGCCACAGCCACGCTGTGCGGGGCAGTGGATGCTCCCCCGGTGCGGAGCTGAGTGTCATGGCAATGCAGCAGCCTTGCGCTCCTGCTCCAGTGAGGGGGGGCAAGGGCTGGCGTCCTGCCTGATTTGGGGGTTTGCTGAAGGATGCCAGAGCCCAAGGACACTTTGGGCGGCTCTCACCTCAAGCCAGCCACCAGCATCCTGAGATGGTAGGCAGGACTGAGACCACAGGCTCGCCTTCGTGCTTGGACACCCGGCACAGCTCCTGCCGCAGACCCATGGCGTTCACCTTGCTGCCTCCAATTCTTGTTCCCCCGGCAGCCAGGTGGGATTTCGGAATGCGTGGTGCGAGCCACAGCCCCTGCAGTGGGGCTCCTGAGCTGCTCCCGAGAGCCTCCTGAGGAGCGCCAGGATGGGGGGACTGGAAAAGCTGGCTTCCCCCTGCCAAGCCTGGGCAGGACGGGCAGATGCAGACCTGTCCCAAGCAGGCAGCTTGCCCAAGCCCCTGCAGAGCTGCAGGCAGGGTTGGACAGGGGCTTTTGGCTGGGGATCCTATCCCACAGGCCGATGCACTGTGTTTCCATCAGCAGCGGGATGTGTCCCAGATCTGCCTGGCGAGTAGGCACATTTTTGGCTGGAGTGTGTGCTGCCCCAACACGCACAAGGGGAGGCAGACATCTGGATCCCACAAGGATCCTAGATCAATGGTGAGCAAACCTCAGGGAGCTCCCAGACTAGGGACAGCACCAGGGGAGCTGGGGCTGGAGAGGAAAAGTGGCCAAGGAGGAAACAAGATGGGCTGGAGCCACAGCAGCTCCGACCAGTTTTGGGGACTGAAGGTACCAGAGATCTGTGGGCCCAAGGTTTAAACCCCCACCAGCTCCAAAGGAGGTAAAGACCTAAGCTGTAAGCGGGCCAAGAACTTCACTGGTTCCAATCTGTTCTCTGAAATCCCACAAAGGAGCAGAGGGACACAGCGAGCATCCATGCGCATGAGCTCGCAACAGCCATCACACGATTAACACTAGAAAAGCAGGTGGCTTTTCCAAGACTCATTTACCAAGGAAGTCGTGGGTACAAGAAGTCTCGTGCAAACCTTCCCCATCACACGTGTTTCGACTGCAAGCCCACACTTTAGCCCATAAATACGATGGTCTGAGCGAGCCGCCTTTGCGCTCTGCCAGCTAAGCAGCCTGGCTGCACGGTGGTGATCACCCCTTGTGCTGGGACGCCCTCAAGGTCGCTCCTCGAGGCAGAGACACCTCCCACCAGCGGCGGATCTTCTGTAAGCGACCGATACCAACGCATATCCTTGTAGTATGGCAACTCCGATCTGTGCCTCAGCAACTTTGATTTTGTCTTGTTAACTTTGACTCTGCTTTGGCGGTTTTGAACCGTTATTCAAACGGCTGCGTGGCACCGTAACAGAGCGGCCTTGGCCATCGAACCTTGTTCCGTCGCCCTTTCACGGCATCGCACTAACGCCGCTCTCGCTGGTCCTTCTGACAGCGTTCTCCAAGCGACCTGAATCGCCCCTCCGCCACCGCAGGTCACGGGAGCTGCAAGGCCAGCCCGGGGCACACCCTGCGCCCCAAACTGGAGACCTCCATCCCAGCCAGAAAGGGCAGCCCCGGTGCCGCGGAAGGGCTGACCCACGGGCC